GTGTGTGTGTGTATAATACAGAAATAATACAAAACAACTCGATACCAAGTAAAATTAGCCAAGGTCTATTCTATAATTATGTAAAGCTTATTATGATATTTACATACACCATCTACAGATAAAGAGCACGAGCCTACATGTAAAGAAAAACAATCCAAGTATACACAAATATATACTAATGCAGCACATACCAAATGTTATATATATTATATTTTATACCTATGTTATATGTATTTTTTAAGAAACTCACTGCCATAGAGACTCACAGCGACCTTACAGGGCAGAGTGGAACTGCCCCATAGGGTTTCTGAGGCTGTAAATCTGTATGGAAACAGACTGCCACATCTTTCTCCCTCAGAGCAGTGGGTTCTGTATTATGAGCACTCACTCTTTCTATCACATACACGTGCATGTGAGGCATTTTAGCTACACCCAAAGCATAAATTATATATGACAACCAGCAAAGGACAGGTACAAGACATATACATAAACAGTGGGCCACATATAGTCACAATTAGATATATAGCATACATTACCAACAGAGCACAATGTCACACACAGAGATAACAGATCCTGAGCTCACAGCTGCCCTCACACCTTTAAAGCTACCCCTTGCTTGCTCCCACCCACAGACACCAACACCAGGAAGAAGTCATCAGCAAGGACCTCCCACCTCTCAGCCTGCTGGGCTTCACCGAGTCAGGGAGACACCCAGCTGTGTGAGCACCGGTAACAATCAGATAGCCTGGATAAAAATAGCCACTCCGGGGCTAAGAGCTGGCTCCCTTCTCCGCCCTCCTCCTCCCTCCTTCATTCCCAGCCAGGCAGGCACGCACGCTCACTTGCTGCACCTCCATGCAAACTCCTGGCACTGCCAGACCGCCCACGCCTGATGTTTGCACACCCTGCCGCCACCCACACAGCCTGGGTGCTCTTGCTGGCAGAGCAAGAGCTAGAGTGACATCTTGGTAGGGGAAAGTGAAGAATGATGGGTGATATCTGTATTGCAGGGTCTAGAAAGACTGGCAGGAACCACTTGGTAGCCATTTGGCACTCCCCTCAAGCTGATGCCAGAAACCCCCTAAGCACTTGCTGCCTAACAGGTTTGTGCCTGCACAGCCTCCAGATTCCAGCTAACATTTCTTCCTCTGTACCCCTGCTGACCATCCCACCAGGGATTTCTCTTGAGGAGCCAGAGCTAGAATGTCTCAGAGTTCACAATCCTGGGCAAAAACATATTTATACAGGTAATCTCTAAATCCACATGCAGATGTATGCACACACATATAGATACACGTACACACAAATCCACAAACTTTGCAGTGAAAAGCTCAGTTCCAGATATGACGACCTCCCTTTTTCTCCTGACCCCACAACATCTTTCAGGCTATGAGCTCACTCTTCTGTCCTAGTTAATGATTCTTCTCATCATGACACCTCTACTAAGGGTCAGCATTTGCACTAATTCCCTCAAGGTCCCCACCCTCACAATCTTTGCATGTACACACATGTATCCTGTCTTGCACTCCTTACCAGCAACACGCCCACTCCACATTGGTGGAGGAAACAACTTAGTGCCCCAGAGGCCTGGGCAACAAGAGACCCAGATGCAACCCAAGAATTGCTTGACAGGAGAAAGGGGGGTGGGCAACTTTAAAAACAGAATCATGAAGGGGTTTTCCCTTTACTCTTTGGTCCTTTCCCCACCTCACCTCCCACCTTACTCTAAACCACAGAAAACTAGAAAACTAATGTTGCTGTTGTTGTTGTTATTTGCCGTCGAGTCGGCCCCGACTAATAGAGGCATTTAATCAATCCAAGAAGCATCAGACCTTCTAGCACTTTACTAAGTCAAAACATCACAACCTCTGGGCTTTAGCTGGGCACCTGTGGCAGTATCATGGAGGTGGAGCTGGGTTATCCCAACTGAACTGTAAAATGCCAGTGTGCAGGTTTTCAATGACCAGAGATTTCCCGGGTCCTCTCCAGAAGCAGAGCCTATAAAGAAGTTTTAGGCTATTTCTTCTTATCTCCTGCTGAAGATCTCTAGGAAAGCTCATCCAAAGAGCACAGAGGCCATCATGAATATTTCAACTGAAACTCTCTCAGCAGGACGGGGCATCACGGTGAACTTTAAGTGTTTTAAGGGCTTACAGAACCCATTTGGCACACGCCAATCACCATGAATTCCTGAAGAGGAAGCCCTCTCAATTTCTGCTGCTGTTCTATGACCATCCTTACTCTTACTGGGTTAGAGCCAAAACCAAAAAAAAAAAAACAAAAAAACCAAACTCATTGCTGTCAAGACAATTCCAATTCATAGGGACCCATAGGACAGAGTAGAACTACCCTATAGGGTTTCCAATCTTTATGGGGAGTGGCTGGTGGGTTGGAACCACAGTCCTTTCAGTTAGCAGCCAAGGGCTTAACCACTGCACTTCCAGGGCTCCTTCTGGGTTATGGCACTGAGGTTAAATTCTGCCCTTCTCCAGTGCCCTCCTAGTCAGCCTCCAGGTACTGTCTTAGCACTCAAAATATACTCCAATCTTACCAGCTCCAAGAAGCTTGTGGCAGTCTGATCCTTCAGATCTTTCAGTGCCAAGCCCCTTTAACCCATCCCACTTCCGCACCCCCTTGACTTCCCCATTCTTGAAGGGCAACCCAGTGTCTAGAACCTCAGAGATTGAGGTTTCTTAGTTCTATTCCCAATCCTGACACTGAGTCACTAAGTGTCCCTAACCAACCTTGCTCCCTCTTGATGGCTCAGTTTCCCCCTTCAATGAAAGGAATGAAGTCATAAACCCTGCCAAAGCTTCATTCTAGAGGGAAGTGAATGGAGCTTAATGAGCTAGTGGCTGCCATGCATTCCACGCTCCCCAAAATAATGGCATGAGGCTAATGTTCACAGCTATTATTAGAAGGACAAACAAGAGGTACTTCCATTTCTCAGTCCAACCAACCTAGTTACCCAGACCTCTCTGCAGGTGGGCCTCATGCCACTGGACTCAGCAGAACTTGAGTCAGGCCACATTCTCTGCGAGCTGGAAGACTGAAAGGAAATACCCGTAAGAAACTGGGAAAGGCAGCCAAAGGGCAGGCTCCATCACATCCACAGGACGTCTAATGGAGACTACAGCACTGACAGGAAAACAGAGAGAAGTAGACAAGAAAAGCATTCTGTTGGAGTGGAAGACATCCTGGATAAGACATATAAGATTCAAAATGACAAGTATAATTTTCTTCCCATTTTATCTGAAAGCTCAGTAATTGTTTTCTGTAAGGTGCCAAGGTCAGGTATTAAGGAGTTATAACTTCCTGGCCTGCATACAATGCCAAAACTAATATGGCTGTGGCTAAGTGAACCACATGAGGACTCAGGCTGCCTAGGTTTCTGTCCTGACTCCACCACCTGAGGCTGTGTAACTTCAGGCAAGTTACTTAACCTCTCCATGTCTTAGTTTCTTCATCTGTAAAATAGAGGCATTATCCGTACCTTCATTATAGATTGCCTTGAGTTAATATTTGTAAAGCATTAGATAAGTGCTATATAAATGCAGCTCTTATTATCTTCGAATGGGAGAAAACAGATACAAATATTAGAAACTAAAAATCAGAAAACTGACAAGCAATGGAGGTAAGAGGAGAAGCAGCCAGACCACAAGGTTTGCATTGCAAAGGCTGAACAGAGTCTGCAATGGTTTTTAGGACATCAAAATCTCAAAACTTTTCTTTGGAGATACTATCACCCCAGTACTAACCAATGCCAGGACCAGAAAAACTCCAAGTATGAAGGAATGGGGGAATATTACCTCTTATCTTTCAGAGGGAACTAGGTCTAGTCATAAGACATGGTCTGAAAAATAGCACACTCTAAATCACAGCTAACCCAACCCAACAACCACATGCATCTAACTGATTCCATAGAGGCAAGGAGAGTTGGGAAAACTCAGTCTAAGTAGGGCCAGTTAAAGTGCATGGTGGCAGTATACCTGGTGGTGTGGTAATAGAGTTCACCCTGAGCTGTTCAAGAAGTTGCATTCCAGCATCTGCTAAAGTACTTTTTAAAAAACAGGCTGCTGTTACACCAAGACTGTCTTTTTTTTTTAAAAAAAAAAAAAAAAAAAAGGCAGGGGAGTTGCTTCTTGAGAGAAAGGCTGACATCAGAAAGCTCTTTTATTAGCCCTAGAAGTGGTCTCTCTCTGAGGCTGGGCTGCCTGGCTTAGGATGACTGTCAAACTGCCATTCATGAGCACTCCTATTGGCCAGGGGG